ATATATGAAATAAAAAAGGGCGGGATGTAGTGAAAAGGCCCTGAGTTCACCCCCCAGTATGGAGAACCAAGAGACAGACAGACAGAAACACACACACACACACACACACGCGCGCGCACACACAAATGAATGAATCAGCATTCTTACACTTCTCCACCTTCCCTCTACAAATCTCCCAGTTTCATTAGAGATAATGGTACTTTTACAGTCTCAGGTTTATAATATAAATAACATTCTGTTCTATGACCATAATTCACACAACTGTTTCACATCATTTTTTGTTTGTTTGTTTTTTGTACCAGGGATCAAACTCAAGACCTTGCGCTTGTGAGGCAGGCAGCGGCATCACTGAGCTAAATCTCTGGCCCACATTGGTTCTTTTTTAATAGAGTCGATATTCACTACCATTTTTGAGATGTAGATAGATAGATAGATAGACAGAATGAATGAACCCAGACCCTTTGCACTGAGCTACACCCCTCTGCCTTTTTATTTTTATTTTGAGACAGGGTCTCATGAAGTCACCCAGACTACATTTGAACTTACAATCTTCCTGCCTCAGCCTCCCAGAGTTCTGGAATTACTAGGCTGTACAATATTCATTTAATTGGCTGAGTTTTGTTGTCAAGACATTTTTTCCAAAGCTTTTCAAAAGTACCATATTCCGTGACTTCTTCATGTGTGGCAGTGGTTTCCTATGGTTTCGTGTCTCACTAGAAAGCTTATCCTGAGGTTTACCTTTGGGACGCTGAAGAAGTGTTCCCGTTGTATTTCAGCATTAAATAGGGCTGTGGCCACATTCAGGGGACAGCCTAATTTTTTCCCTTTGTAAGGGATTTTTTTCAGTCGTTATCCCAAAGAGTGTGGCTCTCTCTTTCATTTTCTTAGTTTCTCTCTGATTGCTTTAACTCTTGGCGATTCAAAAATATGTATATTCTCTCTGCTAACCTCAGAGCTTTTCTCTGCATCTGCATTTGACTAATTTCACACTGTGTTGCTGAGTTGATTTTATTCATTCCATCACAATGTGGCTTTGTTCTTCAGTTGGTCCCTTTAGATGTGTGTCACCATCTTCATTTCCTTTCTCATTATCAATTTTTTTTTTTTTTTTGGTGCCGGGAATCAAACTCAGGACCTTGTGCTTGCCAGTCAGGAATGAAGCCGCTGAGCCACATCCCCGTCACTAACTTCATTTCCATAGGTTATTTATCACCTCAAATTTGTGCTCTTGTTTAATTGTACTCACTTTTCACTCATGGACATAAAGTTCTTGTAGCTCTTCAGACCTGGAAATCAAGAAAAGCTGGAGCAGGAAGTAGATGACAGGCAGGGACAAACAGAGTCTGCACCTGCCTGTCACTACCTCCACCCCCAATGGCACAGGAGGAGGATGTAGTTGAGCAGCAGAAGCTCAGAGAGCAGCATGGAGCATGCATTTGTCCCAACACCTAGAGAGGCTGGAGGAGGAGATCTCAGGTCATCAAGCCAGTAACTATTAGGGACAATGGGTGTGAGCGACGGCTGTCCACCAGATGGCGCTGTCTCTCTTCCACCCTCTCGGGACTGTGTGTGAACAGCCTCCTCACGGCACACCAGAGGGCGCTGTCTCGCTTCCCACTTGGAACCAGTCAAGAAGGAAAATTCTGAAAATCAGCAAAACTGACACAATCCAATGCTGCCCTGGCTATGAAGCTCAGCCTGGGCCCCTGGAGCCATCCCCTTGCCCGTATCAGGTCACTTTCCCAAGAAGCCTTCTGCAGAGCCCTCACTCTGCCCAGAGCTTCACAGACCTGGGCTGTATGGGCCTCCCTATCTACAGGCGGACACCGACTTGTCTTTTGTTCTCCCAGATGATTATAACTATGTTTGTTTTCTTAAACATCGGGGAAGGGAGAGTCCATTCCCCTTGGTTTCACCGCTTTTTTTCTTCCACTCTGCCCTGTCACTCCTATGCCTGTGCTGGACAGTAGGCCTTTAAAACACAAAAGCAGGGCCAGGGATTTAGCTCAGTGGTTCCACCGCCTGCCTCACAAGTGCAAAGTCCAGAGTTCGATCCCCAGTACCAAAAAAAAAAAGCAAACTGGGGATTGAACCCAGAGCTACATCTCCAGCCCTTTTGTGCTTCTTATTTTGAGACAAAGTCTCACCAACTTGCCCAGGCTGGGCTTCAACTTGAGATCCTACTGCCTCAGCCTTCCATAGTGCTGGGATCACAGGAGTGCACCCCCATGTCTGGGATGGACAGTGTGCTCTCACCTCGCTTCTCCTCACTTCAGCTGGGGCCAAGGAGAGTGGGTTATCATTATCTCCACTTTACAGGTCAGGAAACTGAGGCTCAGAGACAGTAATTTGCTGAAAGGCACATGGCCTCCAGGAGGCTGACCCAGGACCGGAATGCATGCTGTAGCGTTGATTACAGAGTCTTCTCTCTCTGCCACACCATGGCCTTTCAGCATTCCCATAGCCACACAACACTCTGAATACTTGTCTTAAGAGAAGCATGCTGGGCATGCCTGTAATCTTACCATGTAGGAGGCTGAGGCAGGAGGATTAGAAGTTGGAGGCCAGCCTGGTCTACATGGTGAGTTCAAGACCAGACTCTGCAGTGAGCTCGAGGCCTTCAACTCTCGACTGGATCCTCAGCTCTCTGGCGCCCAGCAGCCCTTTTATACTCCTCTACCCCGACTCTGTGGGCAGCTATTGTGGGCTACCTTGCCAACCCTTTATATATCATATATGGTCCTCTAGTGAGCCCTAACTGACATATACACATACATATTTCCTTTTTGTGCATAAAATACATCCAGAAGGATACCCAAGAAACTGGTAAAGAGTAGTTGCTTTCTGGCAGGGAAACAGGGGAGACGCTTCCCTGCCCCCTAATCCCCCCATCAAGGAGAAACCCAACGACTGGGCTGGCGGCAGCAGCAGGACTCACCAGGGCGCATAGGAGGCCGCGATGAAGAAGTAGATGACCATGCGGTCGACCATATGCAAGCAGTGCTCCACCATCCTAGGAGGAGGGAGAGGGGTCACGGTGCCCAGGAGGCAGGAAAGGGAGGGGCGCCCTGCGTCCAACCCAGGGACTGCAGTGCCTTCCCCACTTGAGAGGGCCTGGGCTCAGGCAGGCTCCCCTCATCCAGCCCCGACCCCTCTGCCTCAGTTTCCCTTCTGTAAGTGACCAGAGCAGTGCAAATCAAGCCAAGCTTCTCAACATTCTGGGGTCGTGTGTCGAGGCCTTGGGGTCCCACTGAAGTGACTGCTTACCTGAGGGGCTTACTGAGGGGCTTCCCTGCCCCTGGCTTTAGTCAGAGCAGCTGTTTCAGTTTGATAGTCTGGGCTTTCCACAGGATTTCGGATGGAAAAGAACCCTGGGTTTAAAACGTTCACAGACTGAACCTGAACCCTGAAACGCTGCTGGGTGCTGACTGCCATTCAGAAGTGCTGGGGACGCTGACTCTCGCTCCCAGCCATTTCCGCCTCTCTGAACCAGGGACACCAACAACCTGGCTTGGCCATGGGCTTGTGGAGGACTACGAGAACCAGCACTCAGTGCACATGCAAGAGGCGTTCAATAAACACCAGCCGCTCCTCCACGGCCTCACCTCGCAGTGAGCTGTGACCTCCGTGCACGTGACCAGCGTCACAGCGGCCTCCAGAGTGGTGCTCGTGCCCTGCTCCTCAAGGAAGGGACCGTGACCCTGCACACACCTTGCTCAAAGACTTCTGCCCCCAGAACTGGGAGGGGCTCCCGAAGGACCCACAAGGTAGGGGACCCACGGGGATAGGGAGAGGGTGGAGCGAACTCTGTGGGGCCCTGGATCCTGCAGCCAGCTCTGGGTTGGACACGGCCACTTGCAGCCTTAGACAGGGCAGCGTCCACATGTGTGACGCTGGGTTCTGCAGCCAAACAGGAGCCTGGAGGGCGAAACAAGCCATGGCCAAGGGGCCGTGAATGTGCTCAGTGCCCTCCACTGGAGAAGGGTTAAGGTGGCAAACTGCGGGCTGATCTTCTGCTTGTCTTACGATTTTAAAAACTAAAAGCAAAACAAATTAAGATTTTAAAGATCAGGGATTCTCCTGCCTGCACTGCGGAATTATTGAAGAGATTGAGGAAGGGCATCAGGGCAGCGCCAGGGCCCAGGAGAGCCCAGAGGGAGCCTCAGTGGGGCCTGTAGGGGCGCTTGCTGTCCCCCAGGGCTGGAGCAGACGGTGAGGCTCACGGGGCGGCTGGACCCCGAGCCCTGAAGATGCCCCAGGGGTTGCCCCCTCCCGGGTCCCCACCTGGCCTGGCTGAGCTCAGGGACACGCACTGCAGACTCCGTGTCCTGCCCCACCTGGGCAGGCGTCACCTGCATGGCAGGTGGGACATACCTGAGGTGGCTCTTCTTCCAGGAGATGGTGTGGAACACGGTGGACACCACAAAGAGGCCACAGAGGCCCAGGCCATAGATCCAGGCGGAAATGGTCTCCCAGTCGTCGTCGGACAGGAAGTAGAGGTTGGAGCTGCCCAGGATGCTGGGGATGATCCAGAACTGTGGGAGGGGACAGCTGCAGGGGCGTCGCACGTGGGGACAGGGGACCCACACCCCGCTTTCTCCCAGAATGCGCCAGCCCACACGGTGGCCACAAGGTGGCCATGGGGCTCGGGAAAGTGGCCAGCGCCACTGAAGAACGGACTCATTTTACTTTATTCGTGTTAAACGATTTTATCTAAATTCCGATAGCCAAATTCGAGCACAACCAGCCTGGACAGTGGAGATCTGGACTCTGCTTGGACCCTTCAGGGTGTGGGGACCACAGCCCAGTTCACAGCCGGCACCTGAGCCCCACACGGAGGAGCCTGATGAGCCACATCCCTGTCACCAAGTGGTCACCGCTGTCTACGCCTCAGCCCTAGAGTCCCCAGTGGCAGTGCTCAGCTCGGAACGGCACCGGTGCTGGCACCACCCTGGTAGTAAAGAGTTTAAACAGTGACACCTATTGGGGTGGTGGCTCAGTGTGGCCCCCCTGTCCCCTGCCTCTCTCAGCACTGGGCCTTGTCACTCCCACAGAAGCTCCGCCTGGCCCACCCTGCCTGACCAGGCTCCCTGCCACACAGACTACTCCTTCCAGGGTTACCAGCCCTCATGAGCCCTGAACAAACACACTGAAGGAAGCGGGGGCGGGGGGCTAAGAGGGAGGAAATGGGTAGATGAATGAACACTGAAGAACCCCAAGTGGAGAGAAACATGCACCCGGAGCATCCAGCCTGACAATGTGCACCTTCTGGGGTCTATGGTGGTATGGTGGGGGGGGGGGAAGGGGACAGATTGGTTTTACTGGGGGCAGGGGGTGGGGTTGCTGGAATTGCACCTTGCACCGGGGCCTTCACCCTGAGCTACATTCCCAGCCTTCTTTGCATTTTTTTATTTTGAGACAACATCTTGCTAAATTGCCTAAGCTGGACTCCGACTTCCTCAGCCTCAGAGAGTGCTGGGATCACAGGCGTGCACCACCACACCTGGCTTAGGGACAGAAGTACAGACAATTAAAAAGGACATCTCTCCATCTGATTGTATCACTTTAAAAATGCATATGGGCCGAGGATTTAGCTCAGTGTTTCCAATGCCTGCCTTGAAAGTGCAAGGTCCCAAATTCGATCCCCGTAGCAAAAAAAAAAAAAAAATGCATAGCGCCCACATCTAGCTTATTCACCCTGTGGGGCTCGGTGGGGCTGGCTCTCTGCTGCCGGCACTCTGGAGGTGGTCTTCGTCGCTCTGGGGTCACCTGGGGTCACCTGCGGTCATTTGCTGGCCTTCCCTCCCCCTCCCTCTTTCCTTTCCGCTTCCTGGCTTCCTCCCACAAGCCCGCCCCGGCCGGGCCCGAAGCAGGGCCAAGCGCGGGGAGCTGCGCATGCCCAACTCCCGCAGCGGCCAAGCACATAGGCGCCTGTGCCTGCGCCTGCCGGGTCTGTGAGCAGAGGAGGTCACAGGCGGGGGCCCCAGCCTCTGGCCCCCGTGGTGGAGGATCGGCACCCCCCTTGGAGAGGGAGCGAGACCCAGGAGCCCTCATGGTGCCACACCGATGCCTGGGGCAGCACTCACACGGCTCTGGGAAGTGGCGCACGCCCATTCTGCAGATGAGGAAACCGAGGCTGACGGCTGCATGGTGAAGGAGCTGGGATTCTGGGACAGAAGCTCTCTGGGTGGCTGTGATGAGTCAGCTTACGACTTGGACACCACCCCCCCCGCGCGCGCGCGCAAGGAAGAACCCCGTGATCACCCCTCAGGTAATCCGCCAGGGGTGCACTGCAGGGCGCCCGCGTCAAGGTGTGTGATGACAATGTGCGCGCCTGTGATCCGAGCACTCTGGGAGGCTGAGGCAGGAGGATCACAAGTTCAAGCCCAGCCTGAGCAACTTACCCAGACCCTGTCTCCAAATAAAAAATAAAAAGACTCAGGGCGGCAGCTCCGTGAGAAGGCCCTGAGTTCAATCCCCAGTGCTATAAAAAGAGAAGGAAGAAAGGGGGGACTCCGGAAACCTGGCCTCAGCTGAACACATCGCAGCCGGGCGGGCGAGAGCCAGGCTCGCTGTGTCCTGCGATATGGAGTCGCCCCCTGCAGGGATTCAGATCAAACTCACACCTGCATTGCCAGGCCCGGGAGCAGGGCCTGGTGCCTCGAGGGCACAAGGAAAGGTTTGCTGGCTGACTAGGCGTATTGAGGGGGTCACGGGCTCAGAGCTCCCCCGCATCTGGGCGGATGGGCAGGCTTCTGAGGAGCATTTCAGCAAGGCCATGAAGGACAAAAAGGGCTTCAGAGGCAAGGCTGGGGCAGAGAGGGAAAGTGTTCCAGCGGTGGGCACAGCTCAGGCGAAGGAAACAGAGTGGGCGACCCGGAAGCCTGGGAGAGAGCGAGGCAGCAGGAGCAGGACATGGAGGCCAGACCTGCCTGGGCACGTGCTGCAGTGACAAGGTGCTGTACTGTACGAGGGAGCCACTGAAGGCACACTGCGTTCCAAGTCCCCAGTGTCTACCAGTGGCCTTCCCCTAGACCCCACTCGGCCTCTGGGGGCCGCAGGAGGCCTGAGGGACAGCCCCAGAGCAGAGTGTGAACGTCGGCCTGAGCCACCTTTCCTTCCCTACCTGGAATGCCCCCCGCCGCCCCCAGCCCCGACTCACAGCGTGCGTGGCGCAGTTGGCCGCGTGCTCGTACTCCGTGGGCTGGTACCGCTTGTGGGCGGGGACGCGGTGGTTCATGAACCTGCAAAGCGGGCAGAACGTGGAACTCAGCGGGGAGACGCTGCCGGGTCCGGCCGCTGAGGGGGAGGCCTCTCCGACGCCTCCGGGCACCGCCCCCTTCCTGCCCTCCTGGGGATCCTCACCGCAATGCTGTTTATCTCAAAACTTCGCTCTTGGCGCCTGCGCCTCGCTTCCAGTGGGCTCTGTCCCCCCGAAATACCACACACGCACTTAGGACCCGACACACGCCGCGAAGATGGAAATCGGAAGTTGAACCGTTGTTACTCAGAGACTGTGTACGAGGTGCAGTGTTCTCTCTTTTTTCTCTATTTTCTTATATTTTATTTGCAAGACTGGGAATTAAACCCAGGCCCTTCATACTGAGATACATTCCCAGCCCTTTTTTCTTTTTAAATTTTGAGACAGGGTCTCACTAAATAGCTAAATTGCCCAAGCTGGGATCAAACTTTCAATCTTCCTGCCTCAGCCTCCCAGAGCCTGGGATTACAGGTGTGCACCACCACAGTGGGCTTTTTAAATATTCTTGAAGTGTAATTTACAGTTTGACTCCCCCAAGGGTGTGGCTTGATGAATTTACACACACACACACACACACACACACACACACACC